GGTGAAGAGAAGTGTTAATTGGGCATAAAGCCACAAAACCCGCAAGCAATTAAATCAAGTCATCCTGCATGATTTCTATGAAGCTACGAATCACCTGAAAGTTCACTGCGCACTATATAAAACTATAATAATTCACAGATTGCATCTTCTTGAAATCATCATTAGAATTGCACTTGGACTAAAATTGTGTGGTTCTGGCTGTCACTAACACTGGGTTATTAATTTTTTATTCTGTCCTATGGCCGCCTCTGTATGCTGCCAAAAAAAAAATTTATAGTTTAAATTGTAACAGATAGTAAAATAATAATCATTTGATTAAGAGAATATTGGGTTTAGCTAATTTAAAACTAATAGTTAATAATTTTGTTTAATCTAATAGTTGATAATTATTATTAATAATAATTCAAACATTTTATTTATTAAATTAAATAAAATCATTATCTATCACTTTCAACTAATTATACTAAATAATCTCTAAGAGGTTTTGATATTTTTTTTAATTAATAACTTATTAATTCAAGTAAAAAAATTTAGTTTTCATTAACTAAAAAATTTAATTCGAATAAAAGAAATTTTAGTCTCTTGAATAGAAAAAAAAAATCAAATTTCTTAAATGGAGAAAGCAGTACTAGAAGTGAGAGTGGGAGTGCTTCCCCTTATAGGTTGACGTGGACACTAAATTAAAGAGAAAGTTCTTTTTTTAAGAAGAAAACTTGCTCATATTCATTGAATAAAATCTATTTGAACATCAGTGGGTATATATGGTCCTTATCAGAACCTTTCCCATGGAATCACGAAACGTTTCAAAGTTGCAGTACCTTGTGCTAGTCTATTGTTGTTTCTATTAGCATACTTGATGGAACAAGTAGAGAAAAATTCTTTTAGCTCAAAAATATCAGCAACCACCACACCAAAGTGACTTATCAAAAAATGCCACCACACCAAAGTGAAGACAGTCGGCTCTTTTGTGCGTAACTAAACGCACTGCGCCCCTCGAATCTGATTCAATAATGATATTCTCACTACGCATTCCCTTACCTAATCAAAGTCCGAACTGAATGGCCAAAAGCTCGGCTTCAATCACAAAGCAAGAAATTCTGGTTGCTTTCTGTACGATACAAGTCCTGAACCCATATGATCTCTAGCTATACCGCCCCCAGTTGGACATGGTTAGAACCTCTTGGCAAGGCCGCTTCAACATTAATCTTTGTAAACCCCAACTGAGGCGGACTCCATACTTGACCATCATCCGCCGCTCACTGTACTTTGGCAATGCAGTTGTCCTTCCGTCCTATAGCTACCTCCCCTAATCTCCTCCACATAGCCACGAATCCTTCTAACCAAAGGTTGCACCATATTACTGAAGCAATAAAAGAGATAAAAGCAAAAACAACAAGACAGAGGAAGAAAAAGGCACTTCTATTACTGAAAATAAATAAAGATGATTCCACACATTAAACTGAATAACAACTGTCTATTTATTTCTTTATTTATAATAAGTGAACAAACCAAAAACTCCTATTATCTAGTCACTACAAATTGAAACTAAAAATATAATCATACATGTAGTATATATAAAATGATTGAATCAATTATAATTATATTATATTATAATTATTAAACTAAATAAATATTAAAAAATATATTAAATCAAATAATGTATCAATTATTTTTTAAGTTATAACATAACCACAAACATCTATATATCCTTCCCACCTAATTCCAACAACATCTCCGGGGAGTCATCCAAGAATGTATCTCTCCCTTATTCTTCCCCCATCTAAACTAGGCCTGCATGCCTCCTAAAATTTCGAACTCCAACACCAGTTCACAAAAATATGATAATAATTCTCCCAATACTAATACAAACAACTTCTATAATACGGTTTACAATTTATTTATTAAAAAAATATTTTTTTAAAAATTTAAATTAAAAACATAAAAACTTAACACATAGCCTTATAAGCAACCTCATTTATAGGTGCACTCTCCAACTCCCTTGAGCTAGGTTCAACCCCTTCCCCTTCTCCCAAAATTGCACTTGTTAAAAATAGAAAAACTTATAATTATAAATTTTAATAATTAAATCAATGAAAATTAATGAATGTGTTGAATTAAAGAGTATATTAATTATTTTTTTAATTCTCCCAATTAGAGGCGTTTTTATATTGAGGAAGGCTTTCCATCTAATAATAATTAATGTTTTGTTGTTACTGCAAAAAAACAAAAAAACAAAAACAAAAAACAAATTGGGTCGGGTTTAATTAGCGAGTATTTCAATATCTTCCAACGGGAATTTACTTTTCTGTCGAAGCCCAGACTAAATTTCCAGCATTACAAGTGAGTCCTACAACTACAACCCGGCCCATTAAACTCCTCTCTTTCTCCAAATGATAACCTTCCCTCCCTTCTCTGCTCTTCCCATTTTCTCTCAACAATGGCGACATCCTGCCACCTTCTAAACCACGTTCATATCAAAGGTAATACAATTTCATTGCTTTTTTTTTTTTCTCTCCTTTTATACTCCTTTTGGTCAGCAGAACTTCTGTCGAATAGAAATGAAACTCTCAGGAATAGCTTTTTCCAGTAATGGTTGCTGTTGAGAACTGTAAGAGAAATCTTAAATTGAAAACTTGTTTTTGTTGAATTTATTGAACTGGCTCTGTCATCTGTGTTGATGTAATTATGTTAGTTCGTATATCCCGAATTGAATTTTGTTTGAATTGATTTTAGAATGACTCCTTGTTAGGTTCAGACTCCAATTTCTTTGGTTTTCTGAGTAATTATGCAAAATAATTTAACAGTTTGACAAAAATCTCAAATGGGTGTGATCTGTTGTGAGCAGCTGACTTGTGTTTTTGCAGTTTGCATGTTCATGACGCTTAATGATACTAATAATGCATTTCCGATTTAACCAAGAAAATTGACACAAAAATTGTGCCTTTTTTTTTTTTTTTTGAGTTTTTGTTTAATTTCTTTTTTTTTTTTTTTGCTTTTGGCGGGTTGGCGTTTTTTGAAACCAAGGAAGGGGAGTTTTCCCTTTTTTTTAGGCTTCCGGCAATTTTCTTTTTTCCTTTTTTTTTTTTTTTTTTTTTTGTTTTTTTTTTTTTTTGCCTTTGGTTATTGCTTTTTTTTGGGTTTGGGTTTTTTTTTTTATTTTGCTTTTTTTTTTTTTTTGTTTGTTTTTTTTTTTTGCACTTGGTTTCTTTGTTGTTATTTTTTTTTTTTTTGGGGAAATATTCATATGCTGCATATGTTTAGTAAAAGATTCATTGCATTGATCCAATGCATGGTTGTTTCTGAGCAATGTTTTATATTGCTCCAGTTTAGCTTGTTGACCAAAGGGTTGCATGCACCTTTGGCAGCTGTTACAGCCTTTGCAACTCCTTACTCTAGAAGCTAGTTGGCCCAAAAGTGGGTTTGTGAGAAAAGCTTCTAGCTTGCCCCAAAGTTGAGGTTTTATGGTCAAATCTTGAATGAACGAGCTTACAAGAGTAAACTTTTTGGGCCCATTGAGAGTTCCTAAAATTTACAATGTGCTGCCCTATCAAAATAAATAAAATTTTCCAATATGCTGCTGATTGTCCCATGGGCCATTTGTGATGTTATCAGCAGTAGTTCTATTCTGCTTTGGTCTTGCTGAAGATTCTTCAGATTTTAGTGGGTCTTCTGTATGAGGCACCTTCTTGAGATGTTGACGACATCAGGAATCCAAAACTTTTATCTCAGTTGAGGATATTATTATCCAGTTGAGGTTCTCTATGCTGGTACCATTATGAAAATGCCATATTGTCACATATATTAATATTCATTGATATATCATACTGTTTAATAGCACTGGTTCTTTTCATTGAAATCATGTCAAGTGTCATTCTCCTTTCATTATGTATTGGTTTAAACACTCGTGTAGCATACTCATTGCTCATGTAGCCAATCAGTAGATCATCATCTCTTTCAAAAATGTATTCGATATACAGCTTTCATGTTAAAATATTACTCTGTATTTTCTTGGGCATTGTGTGAACAAACAAGATAAGCTAAAATGAGAGTGGGCATTTCCATTCTTGGTATGTGTTGAACTTTTAGCTTAAGCATGTCATAAGGACTATGTTTTACTTACAAATAACTTTTTAGCTTAA